AAAGGATGACAAATCAAAAGTTTCCTTCGTTAGTCTATATAGATTCGCCACGTCTCTAGATTGTCTACTTATCTTCATGGGAACACTGGGAGCTACAGCTAATGGCACAGGTCTGCCACTCATGACGATCGTCTTTTCGGGTATTCTTCAGTCGCTTACTGACTTTCAGATGGGAGCCACGACCGGTGATCAGTTGTACCATGAAGTCCGCAAGAATGTTATTCTCTTTACAATACTTGGGTATGTATTCGCATTTGTCCAAGTGTGGATAAAACGAATTCCGGATGCTAACCCTTTTCATTATTATCACGTGATAGAACGGCCATCTTTGTTCTTTCATATTTCCAGATGACTTGTTGGATGATTGCAGGAGAGAACATTACTGGGGTAAGTGATAAACGTTATGTCTTTTCTTTTCTTTTTTTAATAATTGTGATATGTGGGAAGCCTGACTAAAAACAATTCACCTTGCAGCGTCTTCGACGGAAATACTTTTCCGCTGTCTTACGTCAAGACATCGCCTATTTCGATAGTACAATCACAACAGGAGACGTTACATCGCGTATATCAGCAGATATCTCCATTTTCCAAGAGGGTATTTCCGAAAAAGTCGGTCTAAGTATCCAATTCATGGTCACGTTCATCACTGGTTTTATCATTGGCTACATTAAGGTAAGACGTTGCAGAATTTCATTATAACAAATCGCTATTGAAGCATAAACGCTTTTGTATCGTGTATCAACCTTATTAATATAAATGATTTGTTCAGGGATGGAGACTCGCCCTTGTGATTACCTCTGTAATCCCACTTCTTGCCATTGGTGCTGCTGCTCTCGGTAAAGCGCTACAATCTTCGACCACTAAAGGTCAAGATGCATATGCGGAAGCAGGTTCAGTCGCAGAACAGGCAATCTCTGGGATCAAGACTATAGCATCCTTTGGTGGACAGAACAATGCAATTGAGCGATATACCGAAAAACTTGACCTGGCTTATAACTCTGGCAAAAGGAAGGCTATGATTAGTGGTGTCGGTATGGGTACCATCTTCTTCATTATGTTCTCTTCTTATGGGCTTGCTTTCTGGTATGGAAGTAAATTAGTGTTGAGAGGGGAGCAAACTGTCGGCCAGGTGTTGAACACTTTCTTTGCTTTGATTATTGGAGGTAAGTCGGTCCATCTAATACCCGTATTTTCGGAACCACAAACGCAATGTGAATTCCCCATCGTTTTGCTAAATTATTCCCATTGCTTCTAGCTTTCTCGATTGGCAATGCAGCGCCCGGTTTTAGCGCTATAACCACTGCTATGGGTGCAGCGACTACATTGTATGCAGTTATCGATCGTGTTCCACCAATCGACTCGTCATCGCCCACCGGCAAGAGGCTCGTCAAATCCGCCGTTAAAGGACGAATCGAATTCAAAAATGTCAATTTTCATTATGCCACTCGACCCGACGTACCTGTTTTGAAAAATTTCAGTTTAACCGTTGAGCCAGGTCAGACCGTAGCACTTGTTGGAAGTTCTGGCAGTGGAAAGAGTACCGTTGTTAGCTTGTTGGAAAGATTCTATGATCCTGTTGATGGATCTGTGTGTTTAGATGGAGAGGATTTGAAAAATATTAATATCCAGTCGCTTAGAACTCGAATTGGTCTCGTTAGCCAAGAACCCGTATTATTTCCAACTAGTATTAAAAAGAATATCAAGTGGGGTGGCGCTCCCGGCGAAAAGAAACCTACTATAGAGGAAATTACTGCAGCATGCAAGAAATCTAATGCTCATAACTTTATCGAGAAGCTGCCTATGAAGTATGATACTCTTGTTGGAGAAACAGGCGCACTGCTCTCTGGCGGACAGAAACAAAGGTATTATGCGAATCATTGTAAAATCTGATGTTTTGTGATGACGCCTTCAACATATGTCTAACAATTCCCTTATATGTGGGTGTTTATTTTTTGCAGAATCGCAATTGCGCGTGCTTTGATTAAAGATCCCACAATCCTTCTTCTAGACGAAGCCACATCTGCTCTTGATGCTGACACCGAACGCGTAGTGCAACAGGCACTTGATGCAGTTTCAGCTGGTCGCACAACTATTGTTGTTGCTCACCGTATTTCTACTATCAAGGATGCTGATAAAATAGTTGTTATGTACAAAGGAGAGGTTGTCGAGGTCGGTCGTCATGATGAATTAATAGCTAAACAGGGAAGGTATTATCGCCTCGTAAAGGACCAAGAACTCCGAACACATAAAAAAGGTGAAACTGAGGTAGAGGAAGAGGATGAATCTGAGAGCAGCACTGCTGGCGATACATCCGTTACAATTGAAGAAAAACCAGTACGCGTTGGCGCGATTAGACGGATGTCGACAAAAGGCTCTCTTTTCCGAACAAAGACCGACGAAGAAATTATTGCGGAAGAGAAAGAAAAGAAGAAAAGCTATAAAGCACCTTTCAGGAGAATAGCCCGATTAAACAGGCCTGAACTCGTTTATATAATTCTTGGCACCATTGGTGCTATGTTCCAAGGTGCTCAGATGCCATTATATGCTGTGATATTTACCCGCGTCATGAAAGCTTTTGCACAGACTGACGAACAAAAATTTAAGCACGATACCAATTTCTGGGCGGGAATGTTTATCGTCCTTGCTAGCGTCTGCTTAATTGGCTGCACATTACAGATCACTTTCTTTTCACTATCCGGTGAGGGACTGACTAGACGATTGCGTCGCATGGCTTTTGTAGCAATTGTCAGACAGGAGATGGCGTTCTTTGACGAGGAGAAGAACGGGACGGGTATTCTGACATCAAAACTGGCTGTTGATGCCACTGAAGTACAGGGATTGACTGGCTCGTTGATGGGCAGCATCATTCAGGCTATTACGACTGTTACGTTTGGGTTAGGGCTTGCGTTTGCATACGGATGGAAGTTAACACTTGTTGTTATAGCAGCAATGCCAATTGCTGGTCTTGCTTCGTCTCTTCAGTTGAAGACATTGGCTGGTTTTGGTGCTCGTACTCGGGCAGCTTATGAAGATTCCGGTCAAATAGTGCAGCAGGCAGTCTCCAATATTCGTACAATTGCATCTTTGACACGTGAGGGCACGTTCACGTCTTCGTATACAAAAGCACTCAAAGAGCCTCACAAGACTGCAATTAGAGGATTCGCTTTATCAGCAATAGGCTTTGCTGTTTCTCAGGGATTTTTATTCTTCATTTGGTCTCTTGCGTTCTGGTACGGCACGAAACTCGTTGTCGACCATGAATATACAGTGTTTGATATGATGAATGTATTGTTTGCCGTGGTATTTTCTGCTATCGGACTTGGTCAAATTAGCAATTTCGCACCAAACACTGCCAAAGCGAAGGTCGCCGCTATATCTATCTTTGAGCTTATTGATCGTAAATCAGCCATTGATCCAACCGACAACGAGGGTAAAGACCGTCCAGCACCTGTTACTGGCGAAGCTGAGATAGAGAAAGCGCACTTTAGGTATCCGGCTCGCCCGGATGTTGAGGTACTTCGCGGACTTGATATGTCAGCTCTTGCCGGAAAGACTGTTGCTTTATGCGGAAGTTCAGGAAGTGGAAAGAGCACAGTTGTATCGTTATTGCTACGGTTCTATGACCTTGACTCGGGCAAAGTCTCTGTTGAAAGTGTAGATATTAAAGATTGGAGTGTCGAGTATTTGCGATCACATATGGCGCTTGTCGGTCAAGAACCAGTTTTGTTCGACTTGACCATTGGCGAGAATATTGCTTTGGCTAAACCTGAATGTACGCAAGATGAGATTGAAGCTTCGGCTAAATCTGCCAATATCCACAGGTTTATCGAAGGTCTGCCCGATAAATATGATACACGCGTCGGTGAAAAGGGTGCACAGCTTAGTGGAGGCCAGAAACAACGTGTTGCCATAGCACGTGCTCTTATTCGAAATCCCAAGCTGCTTCTGCTCGATGAGGCTACATCTGCTCTTGATGGCGAGGCAGAGAAAGTAGTGCAGGCAGCTTTAGATAATGCTTCACAAAATCGAACTACTGTGACTATTGCACACCGATTATCGACCATTCAGAATGCGGATCTTATTCTCGTTGTCAAGGATGGTGTTGTTGTAGAACGAGGCAAACATCTTGATTTGGTTCGCGAAGGAGGTATTTATGCCAAGTTAGTGAGCAAACAGTCGCTTTCGTCTAAGACGAAAAAATCATAGATGCACGTTAAGATCGTTTTAAAAGGGACAATATCGTATATTACAATATAATAGCACATTTACAAATAATGTTCCAAGGAGTCGTTGAATTGTGTTGGAAACAGAGAATGGTAATTCTATGTTGCTTTTATAGTAGCCTTTTTCTTTTAAAATGTATGTTTTTAATTAAATAATAATGATATTAAAAAAATAAAAAGACCGAATTCGTCAAATGAAAAATTTTTGTAACATCTCCTTTTCGATTGTGTTTAAACGCTGCGGTCGTCTAAAAGAAAGACCTACCTGTATAGCAATTGAAACAGCGTTTTCTTGAGCAATAGCTTGCGCAACGCATAGTAATAGAGAGTTTACAATTTGTGTTCTCTCTATCGAGTTCTCTTGTTATTGATGATGTCCGCTCATTTATTTTGATCAATAATTGTGCCAGGAAAGAGCCTCGCCACAAAAATTTATTCTCGCGTCGCGGAACTCGTTTTATTTATTTTTAATGTCTCGCTAAAATTTAACTATCTCAAAGGAACTATCTGAAGAACCTGTTCTTCATTATAAACTTTTTGCTTCTAGCATGCAGATAAGGAGAATGTCCTAATTAATATGAAATTCTCACTTTTTGTACTCGAAATACTCAGCATATCGAACTTGCAATTTAGAGTTGTTTTTTCTGATTCCAGTAACAATAAATGCAAAAATAAATTATTTATTACAGTTAATTCAGTACAAGAATGTTTCCACCTCGGAAATTGTTATCTCTTTGTCTATCGTCAAAAACTGACAAGAATAATTATATTAACCGTTCAGCGATTATTAACGACTAGCCGCAAAAACTGTAGAAATGGAAATATGAGTGTGAGAAATAAGCGAAAGAAAGATCAACGGTCGACGGAACGGTGCGATGACTGCAGACCCGAAGCTAATGCAAAAACGTCACAGAATGGATAATAACGTTCTAAGAATTTGAAACAAGTTATACACACGATCACCAAAATTGTGATCGTGCGAAATATTCCTTGCTTGCGAGAATAGGGATTTCTCACGGACAACTCGTTACAAACATTTTTACTACTGGAGACCCCGGATAAAAAAGAAAAACGCAAGACAATTTGCTTTGAACGTTATTATACGGTTTGTGAAGAGTTAATAGCTTCGTGAGAGCAGAATGACCACGCATCTGACCGTCGTTACCATATGTCGATATATGTGTTGCGCATACCTCCTCATAACTAATCATAATCCAGCCATCATTATCGGTATCAAACCGTCTGAACGCGTCTGTGAGCGTCTTTATTGTCACACACGATTGCTAAAAGTAGAGTATGAATGTTAAAACGATATTTAGAGCCACTATTAATGATGGCCAAACGAAACAAAACATGGTTTGTTCCAAAAAGAACTGCTTATCTCACGTGTAACCCGTATCCCCACTGATTCACTTACCACAAAATTATCAAACGTTACATTGCCCTTTCCTATCAAGTTTTTTCGGTTGATCAGTATTAAACATAATCATAATATCAACACCAACACCAACACCATCTTGAGCTATAAACGTTACCATATTTATCATATTTCTTAATCAACAAGTCAACAAAGCTGTCACTTAGATTGTATCCAAATGTTTTCAGTGCTGTCTTTAGTTCATGAAAGTCAATTGTTCCCGAACTATCGGCATCAAAAGTTTGAAAACAACGCTTCCAGTCTTCTATATATTTCTGTATGGCACATTAGAGTACTAAATGGTAAATATATATGCCACTTTTATGTTCTGACCGTTTCAGAATTGACCTGTTTTGAGATCTTGCCAACGGTGCAACCAACAAAACTCGCATAAGAAACCGGTAGGCTTAAATGCTATCTCAGAATGTGGGGGGGGAGGTCAATGTTGAAACGGCCAAGAACGTTCCATCGTCATAATTACTGGTTACGTACCCAAAGTCCGGTGAATTCTTTAAAAGTAATTGTTCCGTCGTTGTCTGGTAATTCAGAACGAAAAGTCGAGTAATCAATTGATTAACAAATCTTGCTTTCTATAATGCATGTACGTTTAATTACCTGTGTCGAACATATTCATCATCAATCGCACAGTCTCCATATTGAATGGACTCCAGTCACCTAACGGAAGGAAATCAAGGAAAAGTTACTATAGTACTCGTTACACCGTTATCACTCAATGCTATTTAGCCCATACCGTTAAGTAAAGCCCTTTGTAATTCCTCCGTAGTCAAGGTCCCACTCTTGTCAGTATCAATTGCCTGAAACCAATGGTACAACATTGGATCAACGCCAGCACCAGGCGGAGCAGTTTGCCGACGACCTATCAAACACAAAACAGCCAGCACATCTCTTAACCTACTGCTTTTCAACACTCCGGACTCTTACATCTTCTCACTCTGGACTTACTCTGTTGCCACTGCTGTTGTTGCTGTTGTTGTTGTTGTTGGTACTGCTGCGCATATTGTTGTTGTGGTTGTGGAGGTGGCGCACCACCGTAATTCGGTGGAGGTGCAGCACCATAAGTACTGTAGTGTCGCTGCTGATTATTATATGGAGTCTGATAAGACATTCTACTGAAATGAAAGGACCAAAAAATGAATTCGATCGTTTTACCATTTTAAATAAGTCACATGACAGTCTCAAACAAAGAATCCAAGCACAGATCGTCGTGATTGTTGTGACATTACTGTTTTTAGGGGACCTATTTTCTATGCACGCCAAGTTTATACGCCACCAGTACTATTTACCAAAAAGATTGAATTGCTTTAACGGGTAAAATCGGCGGAACAGCTAAACCCGGTTGTACAGTTTAATTATGCTAATAATAATCTCAGTTTCTTTTTGTACCAAAAAAGCATATCTGATACAACAGCCCCTGCAAGAGCGGGTCTTTAATAAATTTCCATACTAATACAACAATCTCAAGCTGCATGACAAATGTTCGTGTTGTTGAAACATTTACGCTATTCCAAGTAATAAGATGTCTATTCTGTAAAAACAATACGCGTTGGGAATAATACAGATACGAAAGACCCTTTATTTGTCTCAATCAAGCAGTTCTAGCTTTCTTAGATAGTTATTATTATGCCCACACTCCGTACTGCTGTACGGATGGTGCATCCGATAGATTATTGGTTACCTATTACTATTTGTAATTAGAATTAGATTATTAATCACCTGTGCCAGACAGGACAGCAGCGAACCTAAAATTATGATTTTTAATATTTTCTATAAATCAGCACTCTTATTATTTTTAAAGTTCTGCCTAATTTTCCGATTGATTTCTTCAGCGTTGAACTATAAAGTTAATTAATGTCATCGTTACTGTTACAATGTCACGAGTACGCCAGCAAAAATTCATCCATCAGGTTATACGTGTATTATGTCAACTGATAATGAAAACATGACAACGATTAAAGATACAAGAACGATAGAAACATCAAGTCAAATAGCTTTCATTCATTCGTTCTATACTGCCAAACGTTTCTTTGTATTATCAGTTGCATAGACAGGCAAAACCCGAAGCTCCATTTTTGAATAAAGTATTCACCTCGGATTATTGAAATAAAAAAAATTGGGTTTACCGATAGTAATAGATTCTTTGAGACCTTTTGATACAAGTGTCAACTGAAAAGAGAGATTCGAATTATTTATAGAACCTACTTTAGCTACTAACTTGTGTTTTAAAACCGTTTCTATTTTGGTTGTTTTATTTCATCTATTTCTTTGTAATGTTCCTCGGTTTTATTAAAATTTTGCTCATTGAATTCAATATTATTTCCGAAAAAGATTCGCTATCAGTTTCCTCATAGATAAATATTCGGTTTCTCTATATTCTTTGCATTGTTAAGCGTTATTCTTCATAATCTGATAATAACATTATAGTTCACCTGTTCTTTGAAACAATGAAGCATCAGTGGCATTGACATACAGATCCATAATGCCTAGTTGCTGACTGTTTTACTTTTCTCATGTTTACATTTCCCATTTGGGGGCTATTGATCCCCACTTCAATCGTGCTTTAGCTTTCGTCATGAGCAGGTTACACACGATTAAGTATGTAATATAAATAGTAATAGTAATACTGCTGATTGACAACTTTCCAGATCCTGGAAATGACACTTTAATAGAGGATCACTAATAATACAGCCAATTATGCTCGTTAATTCAACCATCATAAACAAGTAAGCAATGATAGACCACATACTAATTCCATTTAAATTCCATTAATTTGACGTCATTGGTGTGTACAAATACAGTCCATCCATGGTCAAGGAAATATTTTAACATTCAACCAATAAAATCTTGCGGCACCCAAGAACATATCGCGCTTTTTACACTTGTATTATTCTCTCTCGGAATCTAACTACCCACCAGGTATTCATAACAATGACAGATAAACTGGACTTTGATCCTCTCATGCTCATGAGAGACGCATTTCTTGGAAAGAAACAAATCCTCCTTTTTAGTAGTGACCAACAACAACTAGATCCAGACAAATCCGAAGACTGGAAACGCCTCAACCATCTATCGATCGATCGACACTCAATACCTAAAGATTATAAAACCTTCTTCAAAAAAGAGAAGTCAGGCCCGGCATACACCATCGCTATATTATATTATACTTACGTAAAACGGAACAGTCAATATTCATCCTACCTCAAAGAATGCAGTTCACTTGGCTTCGACAATCCTCTTTCATACATGGATCGCAAATCATGGCTAGACTTTGTAAATGGGACTGTTTCGACGCTTTCCATAACAAAAGAGACATCGCCGTCGTCATCGACAAAAGTAGCAGAAGATAATAAGCAGAGAAAACCAGAAGCAGAGTCGTCACAGAAAAGTCATAAACGTCCTCCATCTTCGCCTACGCATGATCCCGAAGACGAGAATTCAAAAAGACGAAAGATATTTCAAAAGAACCTAAAGTATCTCGAAGCAGAGATATATCCACATGAAATAACAGATGGACAATACGAATTTATGCACGCAAACAAACCGATAGCACATCTTGTACTCCCATTCTTAGAAGAGCTCGCGCAATCCAAGGGTGCCTCGCAAGTGTTTGTCGGCAGCATAGCTGCCAAACTGCAAAAATCCAAAGGCAAGGACCTTTCTCATCGGCCGCGTGAACGAACGCATAAATCGTCTCGAAGTTATCGTCGTTCTACTGGTCGGCCAATAATCCTTGTTCCTGCACTTCCGACATCTCTTCTAAACATTTGGAATGTTCGACAATTATTAGAAGAAAAACAGTTTATTGATAGTGTTACAGCACGACAAGAGGCTGTGGAGGACGTTGCACCGGAGAAGATAGGTATAGTGCATGAGGGACGAACATATGAGGTGGTTGATAGACCGGAACAGTTTGGGCCGGAGGATTGGGATCGGGTGATATGTGTTGTTTGTAGCGGACACGAGTGGCAGTTTAGGAATTGGAAGTGGGAGTCGCCAGATGAATTGTTTCAGCATGTTAGGGGTATTTACTTCAAATGGAGTCATGAGGCTTTGAAGGACGAGATAAAGGCTTGGAGAGTTATAACTGTCGATGTAAGTGTTTTTAGAAAGGTAGTTGTATGAGATTGAAAATTAACAAGCACAAGGTTTGGAGAAGAACAAGTAATGCTCAAGTCAATGCCCACGTCAATGCCCACATCTTAATTTGCAACCGAGTTTAACCTGTGACAATGTTATCCGTCTACTTACTAGATACATCGCGATGCCAGACACAAGGACTTGGAGGCGTACGTAAAGTTCTGGAATGCCGTCACATCCTACCTTTAAAGAAGTGGTTTCTCCTTTATCAATAAAATAAACATCGTCAGTTTGTAATATAATAGAAGTTGCATCATCGAGAATCTTTCTAACACATTCAGCTCCAGAACTTTCTTCGATCAAATTAGCAATACATATAAAATATCTTTTTCGAACCCCTGTGAGTGCACACGCATTTTAATACAAGTGTTAATAAATTTATTAATAGACTAGATGTGACGATTCCAGTACTATTATCGATATACAAATATTTCAGGTTTCAACTTTTTTACACGCTAAAAAATTAATCGCCTTCTTTAAATTTATCGTTTAAAAGCAAGTATGACAGGTCAGTCGAGAGATTCAAGAAAATACTTGAGGTGACTCGGATTATAATTATATTGTTCAGGAGGTGACACTCAACGAGTTAACTATAATGTTGCGTGGAAGAGAATGAATTTACAAGGACTAAAAATTGAGCGAGAAATCTTCACAGGTTAAGGGAATTAGATTTGCTGTAGAACGTGTACTTAAAATGAAGGATTGAATCATAGTTGGATAAATTTTAAGATAACGTTGCCAATTAGTATAAAGCCTTACTTGCTCACGATCACGAGTTAAACACAAGATAATGTTGTGCATCTGCGCTAGCATTTTCTGTTCAGCTTGCTTTTGATACATTCAACTGCCTTTCTTCTAGGATTAATGAACTTGAGATATTCAACAAGGAACCAGTTTACTTATTGTACTTGTCTTCAAAGAATAGCAACCACTTAATTTATTTTTAATCTACTCGAGGCCAATATTATTTGATTACAGAGTCTAACAAAAAAATGGATAACTTTATTAGCCAATTTCCTGATAACTACCGTATGCCAAATACTGTGTTTTGTTATTTATAATATAATCCAGGTTTCTTTTTCACTAAACAAATATAAATCAACGTACCAAGTTTCTTTAGCATTCGGAATCCAAAATTTTTGTCAGATATCATAACTGTTGCGCGCATGTGTGTAACTGATATTTGATGATATGCAACAAGAAGAAAAAAAATGTAAGGTCGATTTGCGTTGCGAATAGCGTTCTAATAAATTATTAAATCTTTGAGTAGCAGTAACCTACAAGTCAGTTTATTTAACCATAGGAAATTTCATTTATTGAATTGGAATTTTATTTAGAACAAGAATTAGAAAACTCATTTCAGACACCAAGATGGATGAAACATGAACATTTGAAGCCGGACAGCCTGCATATTTGTTTACACTTCGAGAAACGGAGGTGGAAACAAATAAACACACATTATTCATAATAATTCTTTTATTTCTTATTATATATACATATGTTTGAGATACTAATACATGATTATAATAAAAGCATTCTATACTATTCCAGTGTAATAGTTCATGGCAAAGATAATATAATACTTACTATCACTTACCGCGTTAATCTATAGAACAAATAAGTATCTTCTGGTACTAATAAACGTAAATCGATTAGTTCATGGCAACGGAAACTGCTGCATGGCGTAAATAGTATTCCCGTACGCAGGTATAAAGTATCCATGGAATGCTCGCCGCCATAAAGATAATATAATACTTACTACCACTATCCACGTAACCATTCAATAATGCCAGCGTAAAGAATTTACAATCCTTATTATGGTAAAGAATATTCAGACATGGTATGTCTAATATTCTTAAAATAATTTGATAATATGAGAGTAATCACCCACTAAGGAAATTTTTCATGGGATATAATCCATTCATAGGTTTTCCATCTACTCACAATTATCAAATCAATACCTTGTTGGCATTACCACGTTCTTGGCAACGGAAACTGCCGCATGGGGAACAACTCACTCGCATGGCAAAGGAAACTGCCGCATGGCGTAAATAGTATTCGCGTACGCAGGTATGAAGTATCCGCTATCGCTCGTGGAATACACGCCGCTATAGATATATAATATTACCCGGCAGTTCACCGTTATGCCGAGGACAAGTAACTTTGGTCTCCCGACTAGATATGGGTTTATCCTAAATAATATTGTATAGACAAG